ACGATAAACACAAATCTGATCATACAGGAAGAGAAGGGAAGATCTGAAACTATTTTACATTAAAAAAAAAAAAACATAAATCTCAAACATAAATAAGAGATGAGAGTCTGGTAAGAAGGTTTCTCTCTCTAGATTAGAGAGATCAAACCATCATCTGAAAACTTTAATTTCGAAATTTTAATAAGTCGATAAAAGTAGTTTGTTTTCGAAGCATGATCTTTCCAGAGAAAAATACAAAAAATATAAAAAAAAACTACAAACATATAATAAATTAGAATACTAAAAGCTAAAGAAAAATGACAACTTATAAAAACTGAAGTATGTGTCATTACAATAACTTCACATTAAGATTAGGTGTTTGTCCGCAATTACGCGGATATAAATATTTTATAAACAATATCTAATATTATTTGATGATGCAATAAGATATTTGGAAATTATTCAAATATTGTTATTATATATTTGTATATCTAGATAATTACCTTTTATTTGTATTTTCCATATTTTAGTAGTTTTCATATTTTAATTAAAATTAATTTTTTTAGATTTAATTATTTATTATAAATAGTCATTCAAATCTAAAGTTTTATTCAGTTTATGATTTGATTAATAAAAAGAATTTTCATAAAGAGGTTTTGTAAACCACTGAAAAGAGTACTCAAACGCTAAAAAGTTTTTAATTAAGCATTAAGAAGAGTATTCTCAAATCTAGTTTCTGAGTATTATTAGAATCAATGGATCAAGTTTTACCATTAGAGGCTTCTGCTACATTAGTTGGTATCAAAACCAGGTTTCTACATCATTTGAGAAGCCAGTTCCTACATGCTGCATTCACGTTAATTAGTATGACAGTTATTTATAGAAGTACAATTAATGAATTTAAAATACTATATTTAAATATTATTATTATTTTTTTATTTAGTAATTTCTATTAATCATATTTTAAATTTAGTTTAATTTTTTACTTTTTCTAAATAACATATAGAATAATAAAAGGAAATTTTAATAAAATTTTAAAAGGAATTAAACAATAACATAATTATATATAATATAATTTTATCAAAAAAAGAAAGTACACAAAATAGTATTATTCCCTTAAAAACTATTTTTGAATAACATAAAATATACCTAAAAGAAACAATAATACTTTCTTTTTTATTTAGTATAATTATGAGGAAAATTACGTAGACAATTCGACAACCGACAATACTAACTTTCTTATGAGGTTCTACGCCTAACTGCATCATTAGAACCGTCCTATGAAGATCCAAGCCTGAAAAAATTTACTTGCACCATATTAAAGATCCCTTGTAAGCATTTCTTCCATCGTTTGCATAATTATTTAATACATCGATTTCTCCAGAGATTGAAACCTGAATCTCCTATAATGTACAAACTGCAAAAAATTGCATAGTCTAGTATCCTAACCTCTGTCATGGATGTAGAAACCATTAAACTTTAACCACTAGGCTATGGTGTTTCCACAATCATACTGTAATCTTTTTCTTGATGAAATAAAATTTTTGTATATAATGTGATTACTTTAAAAAAATAAGCTCATGAAGATAGTCTTGATAGTAAAGAAAAATATTATTTACTGTAAAATATAATTTCATGAAACATATATATATATATATATATAATCAAAATAATATAAATATTTTATTTATATGTATCTATTTTATTAGATGATTACATAGAATAATGAAGTAAGATAAAACGATATATATATATATATATAATTGACTTAAATAGTTTACAACTAGTATTATTGAAATATTTTATTCATTTTCCGTAGTCTTTAGTTGGCTATAAATATCTTAAAATTACAGAAAAAAATCTAAAATTATATTTTACTTATATACAATGATTTATCAAAAGAATCACAAAAAGGTTTAGTGCTTATTTTAAAAATATTTTAAAAGGGAAAATAAAAATAAATTATTACAATAAGCATATTTTGACAAATAAGAAAAGTTTTTTTTTTAAATAGCATAATGTTATATAATTTTAATTAGGCAGAAATATTATATTTTATCATTCTTCTAGAAAAAATCTTAATATTTATTTTTCATTTTAATTTCATGTTTCCTTTAAGTTTTTGAAACTTGATATACCATAGTCAAAATACCCAAAAAATCTGGATTGTCAATTTTAAAGAATATTTAAAATAATTTTAGTTTTACCTTTCAATAAATCTAAAAGGTATAATATTATTTAAGTTTTAAATATTTGAATTATTGTAAACTGATATGAGTTCGTGACTTCCAAACATTTATCAGTTATGCTTATACTTATATATATATAAGTTCTTATTGATTATCACTTTATTTTCTAATAACAATAGATAGAAAATTATTAAAAATATTATGAAAAATACTTACACATTTAAGCGATAAAGAAAACTAATTTGACTTGAATTCATTAGAATTAAAAATTAATTACATTTGTATTTTAAAGAATATATGTAACTCAATATTCTCACAAAAGACTAATCCAACTTATATCCAAAATCAAAGATCTAAATAACTACAATAAGAACATATAGCTTTATAATAATATTTTTTCTGTACATATGACTCAAAACATATTAGTAAAGAAAAACAAACTATTAACCAGTTATTACAATATACTCCCTCCGTTTCAAAAGATGTATATTCTAGAAAAAAACTTATTTCAAAAAGATATTTTTTTTTTAATTCTCAAAGCACTTTTTGTCAACTAATAATGAAAAATTATGAATTTCAAAAACATTAATTGCATTTATTGGAATTTAGATGTTTTAGGAATATAGGAAATATAAAATGACCAAAAAATATGCATTAATAACTAAATGTGAATATGTTTTATTTATAAGTGTGAAAATCTTAATACATGTATTATTTTGAAACAGAGGGAGTAGTTCTTTGGTAAAAATTATATATATGTATGAGACTTCATAATATTATTTTTCTATTCATTTATGTAATTCTCAATCAAACACTTTATTTTATTTTTTTATTTCATTATAAGCACAATATATGTTAAGTTCTACATAATCTTACTAAAATATAGTTACATATTTAAGACAACAACCAACCTAAATCTAAAATAAAATCAAAATTTTAAGATATTTTTTTAAAAAAATATTATAGTTAAATTCAGAGAAATAGATGCAATCCAATATACCCAAATGATAACCAAACTAACTTTTCACCCAAAAACAACCAAAACAGCTATATATAACATATTCCAAATTATATGTTTAACTAAAATAATATAATATTATTAATATAAATTATACATATAAATTATAATTTAGCTTATAAATATTTAAACCTGTGCATGAGCACAGAAAAATCACCTAGTATATTATATTTATCAAAGTAAATTATATATCATATTTTAAAAAGTTATGTTTAATTTTTTTGTTATAATATTTAGAAGATTTCTATATTGAATCATTTTTATTCTTCTTGAAAAGGATAAATACAATTATCAAAAATATTTTACTAGCTGTTCATTGACAACTATAGAAAATGAGTCATATGTTTAATTTAGAAAAAAAATTAAAAACTAAATTTATATTTCATATAATATCGAGGTTTATAATTGTAAAATTAACTGGAGCTAAAATTGATCTCTATGGTAATTTTAGTTGATGTTAGAAAATTACAACAAATATATTATTCATAGTTTATTCAGATTTTCGTAATTATGTTCACAGCATATTTATATACAACAAGATATGAAAATATATGCTAGAAAGCTGAGTACCTACCATTAGATATATAATCGTAAATGTCGTTTTATTTTGTATCATCATCAATGTTCGTAATAATTGTTTTAGTTATATTATAATGTATGTTTAAACAAAAGAAAAATAAATATAAGTGATAGAAACTGAACCTCTTTATTTGTATAGTTTGCAAGTCTTACAACAATGATGTTCACGTAAATATAGTTGATATTTCATGAATTTCAAAAATATTAATTGTTATTACCACACATAACTATAATTGTTGTTCGTATTAGAAACACATACTTTCATTATTAATTTCTTATAAAAAATAACTTAGTCGGTGTTATGGATTTAAATAATAACTGTTTTTATATAAGTCTTATATAGGAATGAGTCAATTGTTGTAATCGAATCAGCACCCATGACTTGAATAGTTTAATAATAATATTAAAATTGTTTAATGTTAATTGTTTAAATATACATGAATAAATATATGAAGGTTAAATTTAAATATTTATTAAAATTTACTAGTCAAATTAGAAATCAATTCAAATATGTGTTCACATCTTCTTATTTGAGTTCGAAATTTTCAAGATTACTTCCTACGATTTTTTCTCCTTCTGATGTCAACTTGGACAAGTTCAAACACCATAACCTTGCCTTGCAAGGTAAGATGGGTCAAGGGTAAGACTGCTTTGTACAGACAGACCAAAATCGACTTCTCTTGATGTACTTATTTTCATTGATCTTGTGTTCTCTGATTATGTATGAGTAATTTTATTGTTGGATTTATGAATTTTCTAGAGTTTATGACAAATTGATGATTGATAGATCTACTAGGGTAATCTGATTATGTCTTTCACCATGATTGCTATTAGTGCATAATTTTAGATTAGCTAACTAAAATGTGATCCTAAGATAGTTTTTTTTGTATTTTATTAATCACCGGTTAAACCGGAATTCAGTATTCGGTACAAGCTTGAATCATTTTTCTAAATCAAACATTACAGGAGTAGCTTCGCACGTCCACTTAACCGACGCCATCCGCTAAACTGCTCCGGAATCCTTAGAAAGAACAATTCCCGTTCTCAACCGTTGATGTTGACCACAAGAAGGTGGAGTTTACCTTGTTGCCTCGGATGTCGGACTTCTCGTGACATCGTAGGAGTAGCTAGGTTTTGATAATCTCCTCAAATTTGTACCTTAACAGATCATGAAGCTCTTGACTCGAACGGAGAAAAGTAAGAGATGGATAAACATTATGGGCGTCACCAACAACTTACTGACTCGCGGACTGAGGAGGAACGAAAGCGCCGATAACCGCAAATAGAGCCAGCGGCCCAGCGCCACAGAAACCTCCAGAAAAAGCAGGCTGCAATGAAGACGAATCACACACCGGGTCTTCAGTACCTGCAATAAGAAAGAGAAAAGCCTACGAAGTTCACCAAGGAGCAATCTAAGCACTGGGATGGCTAAACCAAAATCAAGTCACCCCATCGATCAAGGACCAATCAGACTCCTCAGAAGGCCCCAACCGATGCCTTGATCCGAAGCTAGAGAACCTAGCTCGGTCTTCTTGCACTTCAGAACCACTCCTCGCTGGTGAAGTAAAGAGAAAACCTCTGAAGCGGTACTAAAAAGCTCTGAAAACCATTCGTGAGATGAAAAAAGCTACAACACGATGTAGATGGTGAGGCGGTCGAAACAAGGGGTGAGTATCATCGGAGGGACTGCTTACTCTGCCGTAGACGACAGAAGAGGATGAACCCTCTTAAGACACACACGCAGAACAACAAAGAGACCCTGGCCACACGACCAGCAAGCATCCTTGTGTACGCGCCGACAGAGCTCATCGTCGCCTCCCCTGAGAAGAAGCACAACCCGGACGCAAGACGATACACCAAGCCTTGACTCCAAGAAAGCTAGCAAACCTCACTCCACAACAAATAAGCTTCGCATAAAGCCACAGTAGATAGAGAACGGGAGGAGAGAGCTCGAAACCAGCCACCACGCGCCTTCACCGCAACGACTGCGACAGATCTGCAAGTCGGGATCCACCACAACCGTACCCTAAACATCGACTCCTTACCATAGAGGACCTCGCCATCTCGTTGGAACTCCAGGGGAAGACCACTTACCGCCGGATCTATCTCCCCTCAAGGTAGATCTAGGGTTCCGGCGAGCGAAATCCCACAAGAGCTGCATACATATCAAAATATATACTATTAACTTAAGAAAATGATCAATAACTTTACATCAGCGCTTATGTTCGAATTTTTCTTTACTAATTCGGTTGATCAGAAAAGATCAGAGAACAATTTGTTGGTATTTGAAAAATAAGTATGATGATTGTCATGTAAGAGCCGGACTCAAGAGTACTTGGTAGTTGTACTTTTGGTTCCACCAATAGCAATTGTGTGGTCAGAAGATCCTGATCTTCAAAAAAAAAAAAAAAACGAGTAGAAAGATATACGATTCAATTAAAGTCAAAACAAGATCAACAGTCAGAAGTTAGCAACAACATTGGGAAAAACAAATATTACAAATAGATAATTGATGAACGAACACAAGTTCGTACCATCAACAAACTCTCTCTAACGTCATCACGGTTTTGCTTTGTCTACATTTGGAAAAGTGTAGATGGCGTCATCAATTCTTTTCCAAATTATAGACAAAGAAGAACAGAGATAACGTGTTATTATTATGATTCCCAAGCTACCAAAAACTTAACAAAATCTCTGCGGATGAATATGCAGTAGTGTGTATGTGTATTATATATAGGTGGCGTCTCTAGGGTATAGTTTAGAAACCCTAGATGAATCTAGAGAGTGAGACACCGCCAACGGGAGAGACAGAGACAGTAAGGCTTGAAATATAGTGTTCGTAAAAATTTAGAAACATGGGTTAAGCCCATTTATTAGAATCCCCACATTCAAATGACTAAAATTTATAACAACTCCAAAGGTATGTGTTACAAAAGAGTTATTCTTAGGTTCACCTGGATTCATGAACCAATAAAATTCTATTATTCTATATTTAATATGTTTTCCTAAAGGAAATAAAGATTGTCAAGTTATATATATATATTTTTTTTTTTTTTAAAAAGGTGAAATAATAATAATAATAATAATAATAATAGTAATTATGATTTTTTTTAGCGTCGTCAGCAAAACACTAAATCCTAAACCCGAAATACTAAATCATAAACTCTAAATCTTTAGGCAAATTCTAACTCCTTGGATAAATCTGAAATTCTAAATTACAAACACTAAACACTAAACCTTAAATACTAAACCCTAAATTCTAAATCTTAAATCCTTGAGTGTTTTAGTGTATAGTATTTTTGATCTAGAGTTTAATTAGGATTATCCAAGAGTTTAAAGTTTATCCAAAGATTTAGAGATTATGATTTAGAATTTAGGGTTTAGTATTTTGCTTACGACGTTAAAAATAATTTTTTTTAAAAAACATTTTTTGTAATTACTATTATTTTTTTAAACTTTTTATTCAAAAACATAATAGAATTTGACAATTTTTTTTTTTTTTAAAAGATTATGAATATGAAATAATGAAATTCTATTGGTTGGTGAACCTAGAGATTTACCCTAGAGAGTGGACCCAAAATAATCTGTTACCAAATTTGCAAACATTGGGCTCGGTTCAAAATGTTCAACTGGTGTTGATTGAGGTGGAGAAATGGGTCGTAAACGTGGCTGAGAAAATTTAACGTATGCTTCATGTAGTGTACAAAGCTTGTCTAAGAGCATATACACTTGCAAAATGCTCAAGGCTAGCAAGATTCTTGTCGATGTAATACCTAAGTTGGTGGCAACCGTGATACAACCGTGATTAACACCAATATCCATTATGTACAGAACTATGCTAGACACTAGTTGGTGGCAATCCTGGACCTATTAAATCACCAAAAACTCGAAAATTAAACAAGATATATACATGGATTAACTTAATTATTATTTACTTTTTTATAATATTTAAATTAAATATATAATAAAAATATATTAGAATGTAATATCTTTTGTATGTTATTATTGAAATTTATATTTATTAGTTTAACAAAAGCGAATTCTTAGCATATGTAAATGTCATACATTTGAAACACAAATTAATCGGGGAACATGTGTATATATATTTACATATGTGTAATATTACAAATAATTGATGTTTCTTAATGGCCAAGACATTTGATTTTATGCCAATCAACCAGAGTTCAATACCCCATAAGTGTAATTTCTTTATTTTCGCTTTATTACTACTGATGATGAAGAAAACCAATAGTCTCACATTGGTTACAGAAAAAAAGAGAGGCAAAATCTCACTCTATGATGGTAATTAATTGGGATGTAACTTTAAATTTTGTGTTGTACAGTATAAGTTTTAATGTAGAAGTATCTGCTGTACAATTTTCTACAACCTATAAAATATTGCTTTAGTAAATAGATGCTTTACAGCTGTTTTTTATTGAAAATATTACATCATAGGGCAGTTTTAAGTTTTTTATATCACTATGGGACAGTTCTTGCTACTAAGGCAGTTTTTTCTAACCAAACTTCACTTTTACCTATGTGCTAACTAAATAAGTTAACTAATCATAAAGGCATGGGGATTCTAACATCTTTCTCTTTCCCTTTTTTATTTTACTTAGGCATTTTCTTTTTTAAATCTCATATGAGATGCTTTTTATTTTTTCTAGCAGTTTCACATCTATGTCACTAATCAGATAATGAAAATAATCGACAACCCAACGGCGGCGTTCGATTAGGCGAAATGGCAGCAAACAATACTAAGAGGCATACAATTTATAGGGAAGAAAACCCTAGAAAAATAAGAACAAATTGTTGTCGTAGGCACGAATATTGATGAATTTGTGTTCTGGATTCAAGAACTGTGGAACCCTAGATGATGAAAGCTAAAGAAAAGTTGATTTTTTGGTGTTTGTAGTTGACGGATCAAAACGAATTACAGTTCGAGAGCTCCAATTCTTTTCCCCCTCTTTATCCTCAGCTCCTCCGTCCAAGATGCCAATGAGCTAAAAATCTCCAATTTCTGCAAAATTTGTAATCCTAAGAAATTTGGGAAGAAGATGACATAATTACGATTATGCCACTAATGAATTAATTATTTTCAAAAATCGTGTACACGTAGAGATGTGTACATATGTACATTCTAAGTGTACATGTTTATTAATTAAGTGTACACATATGTTTGAGACACATGTTACATATTCAACATGTTGTAAAGTTATGTACATTCATTAGTGTACATGTGTAAATTAAAGGTTGGTAATGTACATATGTCCAACAAATATGGTAGTGTACACAATATAGGTGTACAAAATCACAATACACATTTACAAAATCACATTGTACATAAATTTACATGTATACATATGTAAGGACAAGAAAAAATCAGAATGGACATATCATACATGATTTTTTTTTTGGATTTTGGCTCAAACATTTTAATTTTGATAATTAAATCCAGTTATTTTTTATATTTGTTTAGTCAATTCATACACACTTTCTTGTTTTGTTTTATGTACAACCATATGACGTCCATGTGTACACACAAGTTTTACTATCATGTACAATAAATTTACTTATATAACATTATCCACGTATATACCGATGCATAGATAGCCACATATAAGAGCAATTTTGTTTTTGTACAAGAATAACAAATGACATATGTGTACACTTTGTGATGTATACACTTGTAGAAATTTGAAGAAATTAGAAGTTTAAGACAAATGGACATGATATTTCGTGTACACTTTGAAACGTGTATATATATGTACGTCGAAAGTGAACCAATAATGTAGAACCATAAATTCATTCATCAGTTATACATTGTAGTATGTGCACATTCATTATAATCCACGAAGCAAGCTTTAACATGTACATATTTGAATAATGTATAATCATAAATTTACTTATCACATTTTCACTACACGATACATTTATTTTTTTGGTTGAAATTTAAGCATACACATGTACACTCCTAAAACATGTCCACATATACGCATTTACTAGTCATATTTTGCTTAGTTAGGTGCTCACGTTAAGCATGCTCACGTATGTGAAAGAAACATGTACACATCTGTGTATCACATATGTTAGAACACATGAATATACAAAAATGATTAAAGTGTGCACATAATGTATTATCCACAGAGACTAAGCTACAAAATTAATAAAAAAGTGATAAAAACTAAACGTATATTGAATAACATAAAACTCATTTCCCATGTATATTTTTCATTCTTAGCTTTCAAATTGATAATATTTGTATACTACATCATTGGGATTATTGGAAAATGCAAACTAAATATTAGGCACAAATGTTTGCTAAAAACTTAGGTCCACCATGTAATCATGTATACATGTACATATATAATCATGTTGTTTATTTCACGTAAACCACGTTTTTTGTCTTTATATTTATAAAGCCAAATTTATCTCTTTAACATGTACATATGTACACTAATATTATGTACACATCTACATGGTCATCCAAAGTATCCGTGTACATGAACGTTACCGTCCGCTTTCTCTTTCCTGTGCTGGCTCAGCCTCGTCGACATCTTTTTCTTCCGCAGAATCGCCGTCCGCTTGTCTCGATCTATCTCTCACCGCAAATCGTCGTCGGATCTGAGTTCCTCTCAAACTTCTCATTTTATGTCGGACCTGGGTTCCTCTCAAACTTCTCATTTTAGCTCTTCACCAAAAGTTTCCAAAAGTAAAATTAATTTTTCTACACGTCCGATTAATTAAAGTGGGTTTAATAATCTTTAGTCTGTCATCGGAGTCCACCACCCAATTTTATATGTTTCAAA